ACCATGGGTGTCACCAAAGACAGGCTAAAACCCAAAAGAAAAAAATAAAGAAAGGGTCGGGAATTTCCAAGCCATCGCCACAAAAATTCACCATGATGGAGTCGTTGTACCACCAAGCCACAGATGTTGCTCCCACAAAGTATTGAAATGCAAAAAAGGGAAAAGAGGTTCTACCCAATCCCACGATTTTCCCCCCTTTCTCAGTTATGGCATCGATGCCGCGTAACCCAAACACCTGTAACGTTGATTTTGCTATCTTCGACGAATGATGGTGGCGATGATCTGAAGCAGATCCGATACTCTTGTAGGGAAGAACGTCGACGAACCCAAACCCCGCTCAGGCTCCCCTATTTCCCTCTCTCGATTGGCACTGCCTCTGTTAAAGAAGAAGATGGTAGTCACCCTTGGCCGCCTCTATCAATTCTTCGATTCAACGGAGAAGAGAAGAAGACCAGTCGTCCGCGCCTAGAAGGCCTTTCCATTCTCTCTGCTTCTTCTTTTTTCGATCCAGAGCAAGAGATAGGGAGAGAGACATGAAAGTGATCAGAAACCCTGAATACTGAGAATCAAAAGCAAAAAAGAGATCAGAAACCGGCTTCGCATCCATACCCGATCAAGATCAGCAGCTCATTTTCCTTCCTGCTCCATCGCCCTCTGTTGCAGCACCACCTCAACCGCCGCTGCCGCCGCCACCTCCAAGAGCCGAATCCAACCCTTCCCCCATTCAACGCAGAAAACAAAACCGAAAACCATCGCCACCAGCCACCACCCTCTCCCTACCGGACGGATGCCTCGCCTTCGTGCCTTAGCTAGAACTCCGTCGAGGCGACCTCCCGCAACCGCCTTGTTCTTCTGTCTCCGGCTGAAACCTCGCTGCTGATGTACGGGTTTGGATACCCCTCCTCACGTTCTTCCCCTCCTTCTCGTTCCTCTTCTTTCATGTCTTCCCTCGTTTTATGTCAATGAGAGAGAGGAGAGATGTTAATCGGTGACCCATCTTGGCCAAGCGTCAATCAATCGAAAGAGAAGAAATCGAGCTTCTCTAGACGACGTTAAGGGGTTGGAATGAAGAAATCGAGACAACGTCATCGATGAGTGTAGCCTGGAATCTGCAGAGAAACTCAATTGTTAAGGGAGAGTGTAGAAAACGACCGTCGATTTGCTTTCCCCTCTCCTCTTAAGCGAACACTCAAAATTTCCGGTACTTTTCGTTTTCTTGAACGATCGATGCCTCAAAGAAGACGATTCCAAAAGGAGAGAGAAAAAACGCCCGCCCAAATGTTCAGCCACATCAGCTTCCGTAAATCACTCCAGGGACAGAATTTTTTGAATGAAGGTTGCAGTTTTACGTTTCCACTATAAATGATACTGTAGAAGCTCATACACGTACTCGGCCCAATTAATAGCTTATGGAAAAATAGTGACGGAGCTTCAAGCGTCATCGTGTGTGCCAAGCCCAATATAAGTTTCTGGCCCATCAAACTCCATCGCAGTCCCATGATGCTACTCATCGTCTTCCTCTACCTCTTCCCCTCTGGTCACGATGTTCTACAACCGAGTTACATAATGAAGCTAGTAAAAGGGAGCTTTATTTACCAATAAAGAGGGGGAAAAAACAAAGAGCTTTGTGTCTAATTAACAAGCCAATAAATAATCAAATAGAACGACTCCTCTCTCTGTATTTTCTGCAGTTGATGAATAATAGAGCTGGAGCAAGAAGAAGATGGGGGAAGAAGGGCTCAAGACATGGTTATGCACCCATCAATAACCAAATCTGGACCCTTCATTTAGAAAATCCAGATATAAGGAAGGAGAATTAAAGACTATTTTTATTTTCACTAGCTTTCTTAATTGACTCATATCTTTTTCGTTTTAACTCGGATTTTAATTTTTTTTGCACAGATGGAACGAGTTCACCGTGCTCTATAAAATGAGATCAATTTTCAATATTTTTTTAGGAAAAAAAAATTCTGGCCTCTCGGTACCAACTGCATACCATATGGTATCTTCTTCGTTTTTAATTCGTTTTTGAAAACGTTTGCACAGCAGGGATGAGTTCATCATGATCTACTGGATCTACAAATTTCTGGGTGAACAAATTACAGGAAAAAAAATACCACACAATACCATACAATACCACCCTAGTACGGGGTGGTATTGTATGGTATCTTCTTCGTTTTTAATTCGTTTTTGAAAACGTTTGCACAGAAGGGACGAGTTTATCATGATCTATTGGATCTACAAATTTCTGGGTGAACAAATTACAGGACCAAAAACTACCACACAATACCATACAATACCACCCTGGTACGGGGTGGTATTGTGTGGTATACAATGTTAAAAGTCGTAAATTACAATTAATATACTTCTACTATCATGTATTCAACCATTCTACAGTATTGGTTTGTTCATACCACCATGGTACGTTTTTCAAAACATAGGTATGCTTTTATTTCAATACCAGTCAATACCATATGGTATAGGCTGGTAAAAAATGGCTTAATTTTTTTTTGTTCGAAAAATATATTAATGTGGATATCATTTTGAAGAGCACAATTAATATGATCTAACTGTGCAAAAAAAATTAAATTTCGACTTAAAATGAGCGAGAAATCGTCCGTCAAAGATTAAAGAGGGAAAAATCAAAGGCTTTCCATGAGAGAGAGGATGCTGATGTCATGCTGATGTGGACGGGTTACTCATGGTTACCCACCATAAGGTTACTGACCTGATCCATTCCCGGGAAGAAGAGATAAACTACTAAATTAAGAATCTAATTCATGTAATTGATTCCTAACCGTCCCTATTACCCGACGGAGGCATCATTATTGGGGTCGAGACCGTAGGGCCTTGCGGGAACCGTCGACGATGGAGCTTAACGGTAAGGCGAAGCTTGATTTGCTGGGGTGGGAGGCCATGGCGGTCGAGAACGTCGGGATGAGGACGAAGGAAGCAAGCAATAGGTGTTGTTAGTGATGGTGATTGGTAAGGAAGCGAGCAAGTAAGAACGCTAATATCCGAAAATCTCACTGCTGATTTTACCGATGCAGTTTTGTTCCCTTTTTAGTTATGATGGTGTTGTTAGTGGCTACTGTGTATTTTAATGATGAAGGTGTTGGCGGGATGCGGCTTGGTACAAGGATGGGCTTCGATGAAGTTGTTGAGGAAGGTAGCTTTGGCCTTTGTGTGATGACGACGACGACGTATAAACATTAAGCTTTTGTTTTATTTAATCAATGGGATGCTTAAACGTATGATTAAAAGAATTAAGGTATCATAATATCATTTATGATGATAAAAATAGTTTGAGTGATTATGATGTACGTATAATTATTAAAGGGGTGGGATTAGTAATTATAATTATTAATAATAAAATACCTTTATTATAATAAATCATGACCGTAAGATTAGATCAACGGTGTGAAACACTGGAGCATACTATGCGTCTGGAGCATACGAGTCGTATCCATATATATATATATATATATATGGTGAGTTCTACGGTACCCCGGGTGAAATCCGGGGTACCTCATACCTTGAGTAACAAAACGTTATCCAGAACTTGAATTGACTGATCTTTCGGACATGATACTATACTCTAACCCTTAAAGATCAAAATCTAGGTATTAATTCTCTAAATCTTATACCCCAAGATCAATTTAATTAGAAAAAATAATCGACGGTTATGATTCGTTCAAATATAGGACAAAAATCAATGCACCATCTTAGGGTCTATAATTTATGATTAAGATAATTAGGACCTAGGGTTCACTCATTAAGGGTTAGAGTATAGTATCATGCCCAAAAGTTCTGCTAATTCGAAGTCTAGATGGCGTTTTCATACTCAAAGTATGTGGTACCCCGGATTTCATCCGGGGTACCGTAGAAGGCACTATATATATATATATATATATATATATATATAGTACGTATAATTATTAAAGGGGTGCGATTAGTAATTATAATTATTAATAATAAAATACCTTTATTATAATAAATCATGACCGTAAGATTAGATCAACGGTGTGAAACACTGGAGCATACTATGCGTCTGGAGCATACGAGTCGTATCCATATATATATATATATATATATATATATATATATATATATGTATATATATATATATATGTATATATATATCACACTCGTATGCACCTGACGCGTAGTATGCGACAGATTTTTCACACCATTGATTTAATCTGATGGCCTGTATTAAATATAATAAATTTATTTATAATTTACAAATTAAAATTGCTTAGTTGATTCTTTTACATTTTCATACGTTTACTTTAACCCCCCAACAAATTATTTCATTCATTTTCATTGTACGATACCTAATTTCTTTTAATCATGACTTAAACATCCAAAACATTTCCATCGAAAACAAAAACCATCCCAAAACTTGATATCATCACTTCAACATCTCTAACAGGCTCAAATAAGAAAATAAAAACAGATGTAGCATTTCAATATGAACTTCCCCACCAATACAAAAAAACAAATTCAGCACCCATCGTCGAACCCTCTCCTCTCATGTTCACCATCGTCGAACTCGCCGTCTACCCCCGCCCTGGTCACCCCTTTCATGCCGATGCTGATTGCGTCGTCTACCCCTTAGCCGCACACCTCCGTCCTCCCGCTCGCCGCCATCATCTTCCGGCGGTTCGACGCGTACTCTTCCTCTCCTCCCTCCAAATCGTCGACATCGACCGGAACGGTGGTCGGGATTGCAATCGGAGGTGTATTTGGCGACAATGGAGTCGGTTGCTTCACTCCTCCGCCGCCGCCACCTTCATAGGGTTCGACGCCGAACTCTTCCTCTCCTCCCTCCAACGCGTCGATATTGACCGGAACGGTGGTCGGGATTACAATCGGAGGTGTATTTGACGACAATAGAGCCGGTTGCTAAGCTTCGCCGCCGCCTGGCCGAAAAGGTTGGATTTTTCCCAATCTTTTCCCTCTCTCTTCTGAATTCCAGAAGAAATTTCTCGTATTTAGAGGCTACTAAGCTGAAACAATGGTTTGCTAAGGATGGTAAAAGTAAAACTTCAATTTTCATTTCCAGGGAATGGTCTGGTGCAGGAAGGACTATTGTTGTGAAGACTATCTCTCAAATCAAAGATGAGAAGCTTGGAATTTCTGAAAAAACAGATTGGATTTGTGTCAATGGAGCTGTGATATACATAAAGGCGGATGATTTTTACTATACATCTTGCCCTGTAATGATTGGGGATGGACAATGCAACAAAAACGTTACTAACAAAGGAGATAGGAGGTGGCGGTGTGACCTGTGTGATCAATCTGTTGATGAATGTGATCATAGGTACATACTCTCGCTTCAGATAGAAGATCACACGGGCTTAACATGGTTAGCTGCTTTCCAGGAATCAGGTGAGGAGCTTATGGGAATGTCCGCCAAAGATCTTCATTTTATGAAGTTTGAGAAACAAGATGACGATGGGTTTCTAAAAGTTATTCGGCAAGTTATGTTTATATTCAAGTTGAAAGTGGAAGAGGAAACATTCAGTGATGACCACGTCTAGTGTTGTCAAGGGAGAGAAGATGAACTATGGATCCCTATCCAAAACCCTTCTGGATGTGATGGAAAACTTCAAATCTGGGAACCTGACTGCTTCACCGCACCATGTAGAAAATAGTTCCACAAATTCTGTGTTGAGTACTCCTAGAAAGGAGAATTTCGGAAGTGGGCAAACTCGATTGAGTTCAACGCACTTGCCAGCTAATCAATTAAATCAGTACAGTAACCAATATAACTCAAGTTTTCCTACATCGACTGTATCTGGGGGACCTATCATTTGTAACAGCTGTGGAGCCACAGGCCAATAGAACGTTGGATGGAGTTGATGCTAGGGGCGGCAAAGGAGGAGGCGGCGGAGCTGATCATGTATAGTCTTATTCAAGTTTTTGTTTTGTACACTATCACTATATCAAGGCGATCTGAATGTTTCAAGACACAGCTTCATTTACTTGTGGAGCTGGGCCTTCTGATTTTTCAGTTTTTGTTGTTTGTTTCTGGGTTCTGTTTACTCGCACCTTATCACATAAGGAAATTTATGGTCTGCTTACTGAATATGGTTCTTTGCATTCTTTGACCTATCATGTTTCTGATCCTTAATTAGTGATACTTTGTGCTTATGGTGTAGCTAAGACTACCTACTGATTTGTCGCAATTCTTGCATTGCATAGGTGTTCGTTATTTGTCCGAGTCTGTCCCTTGCATTTAGTTGGGATTATTGTATAAAACTAGAATTCCCAGAAAGAATGATTACAAACAAACAAAAAAGTAAGAATAGGTCCTTCAAGAAGGTTACATACTTTCCCAATGTATTTAAGAAGATAATTGATGTTAAGACTGATTGACATCATATATCATTCACAGCACTCGTCTGATGAACACAAAATGCTAAAGAAATAATTATCCAAAATTTAAACTAATACAAAACTTGCATAGCTGATCACGTTTTTAAACTTGTATTCCAGTAAGCAGAATCCCATCAAAGTTGGCCATCTCCCACAAGAGGTAGCATCCATCATAGAAGTGCAGGCTAGCAAATCCAAGCAATATTTCCTCTCGTGTTTCAAATTTCTGTCAAGAAAACATCACTAGTAAGTGAAGCAACATGAATTACCTCGACCTGCAACTTAGACCATAGAAAAGTGCACCATTGAATCATTATATCAACCTCCTTGTTCTATCAGTCCAATGGAAAATGATAAAAAAGCAACTTTGTCTCAGGATTGGATATGGAGGCAGAGGGAACATGAAGCATCATCAACCGAAAGAACATGATCATAGTCTGATTCTAACAACAACATATCATTCCATGACAACTTCCAAAGTTCCATAAACGAGGTCATAGAAGACTCATTTTTCCATTTTATCGACATAGTTGTATATTGGGGGAAACTAAATCAAGCTTAAAGAGGCAGGATTGACAGGATCTTAGATGAGAAATCTCACACTAGTCATTCAAAGCAGATTGCAACTAATTTTTTTAATTCCTTCATCCTAATTCAATCTAAGAAACAAATAGGGTAGATACTGCAATATACTCGCATAAGCCAAATCAGGAGCATAATTTTAACTCACCATTGACACTAAACTTTCCATGCAACTCTGTTCACCTTTATGATAATCTCTGAATAAATGGAGATTGTGGCTTTAACATTTTGTGAATGTATCTGTAGCCGTGCTTTTACCTGGACATGGTTTACAAGTAATACAAATATTTCACAGTACACATCAAGATCACCGCATCAAGAGGTATAATGGATTTTAATCAACTACCTTTTCCTTAGTGTTATCAAGACAAACTTTGAGCCTTCCTTTGATGACTCAGTCTCCGGAGGGAAGTTCTTGATGTGATAAATCCTCCTCATCTCAGGGTCCAAATTGGATACCCAAATGACGAACATCAATGAATCTGGAAAGAAGAGTTAAGTAAACTCCGACATTGAACATGATGACAATGTATGGTCTGATGTTGTCCAAGCATCCTGCCGAGAGATGGTTCTTGGAACCATATACAGTAAAAATAAAAAATAAAACCCATAATTAGCAATCAATCATCAACTATTACCAAGTACTTAAAGTTCATTTCTTAACGCGGTAACAATTATCAGCACTTGTGAGGCGCGCTCATCAGGATCCGGCAGATCGAATACGAGGCCGTTAAGTGAGCCTTCAGGTTCTTGCGCCTAGAGAAAGAGACTCTCGGATTGTACTTCGTGTAGGTTGGAGGGCGGTGCGAAGCGGATAAATCTAGGGTATTTCTATTATCCAGTAACCACTTGCAATAAGGTTTGCATGCTGCCTCTTCCAATTAATTCTGTTAGTAAACCCAAAACAGTGGTGGAACAAGGAGGTAAGCACTGTCTTGACTTCTCCTAAGATCTCTCCTTCATCACGTAAATAACCTAAAACAGTGGTTTAACCAGATAAAACCAGCAAGCCTTCTCAAGACATTTCTGGTGGCCGAAAAATGCCCTTTGCAGATGAAGAGCAGGTAATTTCTCTCGGCAACTCCAGTAGCGGAGACAAGATGCTTGAGGTTTGGAATGAATTCAGAAACATAGGTAATTTTTCTTCTTCTATTTGAATGTTCTGGCCTTCTGGGATACTGAATTCTTTTGTTAGTTTTGTTTGATTGGAGTGCTTCATTAAATGCTTGGTGATTCATATTGGTTATGGACAAAGGAGTGCAACAGTGAGAATAGGAGATGAAGGGACTTGGAAGCTCAGCCTACCATTTTCTGCTACCTATTTCTCAATTTAGTGCATCGATTTCAGTATAGTATGCAAAGATTTCTGGCTCTCCTGGAATGGTGTCTCAGTTGCTTTGCATCAATTTTTAGTTCAATATTTCAAGTTCATTCATAGCCGTTTGAAATATAACGTGTGAACTTTTTCTGCATGGTATAGGTTCCAGCTCCAAGAGTGCATAGGAAGATGACGCCTGAGGGTGGATTACATGGTTGTTTATGGTTTCGCACGAGATAAAAACTACACTTGTGAGAGCAACTTTACACGACTTATTCCAAAATTGCTCAAATTTTGAATTATAAGAGGTCTTCAGACATTGATTCGAGTTGTTAGGAGAGAAATCTTTGTTTTCTTTTCAGTTTGGAGGTTGGTCTGGCCTGTATAATAATTGCCTTTTGTTGATTGTCAATTTCAGCATTGAAGCCATTTTGTCAAACTCATAATCTATTCATGTTACTATGGTGGATATGAGAAACTTCAAAATCAAGTTTAATGAGAAGCTTTCTGGAAGATGTTATTTTAAGGCTATAATGGGAAGTTAATGTATTGCTTCGGATGATAATTAAGCTCTCATTTGTTGGAAGATGCCCTTTCATGTGTCACCTAATCAATGTATATACTCACTGTATCTGCTTCCTTTTCGTTGTTGCGGATATTAAGTTCTCCTTTCAAAAACTCATTTTCTCATACTGTGATGTGCAAGCGCTATCTTTAACCAGTTGAGGCAGACAATTGAGCATTCTTTTAGTACTGTTTTTAGTGTGATGTTGCTCCCATTACAAGTCACCTACACAACCTTCTCACTAGCTTTACTGTCATTCCAAAACGTGTAATCTTACATTTAGAGATGGCAGTTGAGGATTTGGGATCAAACCCAACAATTAGGCTAAGCATAGGAACGAAAATGCCACCTCCACCAACACCACCCACACTCCCAAGAATCCAACAATTGTGCCCAGCACTATTTGCCATCCAAATTCCAGTTCCTGTTAACTCAACAACAACCAACCTCAAGTCATTTTAAAGCTATGCATCTAGATTAGATTAAGATGAGGGTAAGAACTAAGAAGGCAAGCATCGTAGTAGGGGGAAAAGTTAATCTGCTAACTTGAAAATTCGTTAGCAGATACTAACTGATATCCAAAATACATGAACTAATATCCAAGTACTAAAGTATCTAGAGAGCACAGACTAGTATTCAAAGTTTGCTAACTGATATCCACCATGAATCAACTATTATCCCAAATTCACAAACTAATATCTAGACAACACAGAATAGTATCAATACAACATATAATTAGTATCCAGATAACCCATAAGAATATCCAGATAACACATAATAGTATCCACATTGTATACTAGTTGGTTGATTGTGGATATTAGTTGGTACTATCTGGATACTAGTTTGTGATGTTTAGAATACTAGTCTGTGCTATCTAGATACTCAGCAGACTTGGATATTAGTTCATACATTTTGGATATTAGTTAGTATATACTAACGAATTTTCAAGTTAGCAGAATAACTAGGCTGCGTAGTAGGAAGGTAGTCCACTTATTAGGTGGAAAAGATCGGCAAGGAGCAAAGACAAAAATAGAGAAATACGCTTAAAATAAGACGAGATGGAACATACAACAACTGGTCATGTGCTGCAAGAAGATGTCGAGAATCAAGATCAAATATTCCCAGTGGAAACGCCAGTAAACTAAGGAATCTTTTCTCCCCCGGCGCCGGCATCGGAGTTATCTTCCCTCAAACCGTCTGTTTGTCTATCGCCATGGTCTCGCCAAATGCAACGAGGAATGGGACTGCCGTTAAGCGAGCTCTTCCACCGTCCCGCCCCCAGAAAACGGTAGAGAATCAGTTCCGAAGGAAACCCTCCTTGCGCCATCAGCAAACTCGGAGACGACCTCCTCGTCGAAATTCTGATTCGCCTCCACAGTCCAAGATCCGCCTTCCTCTGCAAACCCGACTGCAAGCGTGGATCTCCCTTCCGATCCCAGCTTCAATCGCCGTTTCGTTGCTCGCTACCAGAGCATGAACCTGAACCAATCGCCATTTCAGCGAATCAAAGCCGAATCGGGGCGAGGGAAGTGCAGAGATTCGGAAGCTTACTTCTCCGCGTGCTCATCGACAAGGCCACACCTTCGGCCGCCGGCAAAGTGGACCAGCTTCGAAGACCCCAAATCGACCAGATTTCCCAGAAACATCAAACGATTAATGGAAAGAGAGAATGAAAGTGTGCTATTCTGTTTCAGTGG